TTTTTTCCAAAAATTACTCATTATTTTATCTCAAGATTACCTATTAATTTACCAATTGAATTACATTTCTTACATATTAAATATTTAAAAATTAGAATATTTCCTATTTTATATGTTCAACATGATATTTATATATTATATGAAAAAAAACTAATATAGCAAATAAAAAGTTATTTAAAATTAGAATAATAAAGATTATTTTTTTGGTAACTTACATGGATAAATGTACAAATAACTATTGTCTATCACATCAAATTTACACATAAAATTATAACGAGAAAAAACTAACAAGCGTTTAACAACTCAGCTCGTTTACGTCGATAAGTATATTTATAAAAGGTTTATATTTCTTCTATTAATTATAACATTTTTATTTATTACTTTGTTTCATATTTATTAGTACGTGTCACAACTTATTTATTTTTAATATTATTTATCATATTTAATATTTTTTTTAAACTTTTATCTTGTTCTTTTACATGTTCTTAACTGTAGATTTGTCAAAAAATGCATGATATAAAGTCTAGAATTGTTTCGACCATCTGTCTCATTATATATCAATTATTTGTATATCTTATTTTATATTATATTTAATTACAATTTTTTTTAATTTATTCTACAATTAAATATCTATAATTCATAAATTCATCAATAATATTGTCGAGTCAACTTTTGTTCATAAAATTTTAAAAAACATAATTATTTTCAATTATATGCTTATGTCAAATTGAGAAAAATTATTTTTTTTAATTGTAGCTGTATTGATGTGTAACATATATTATAGATGAGAAAGATGACAAATTATGAAAAATATAATTTATAAATTATAATGACATTATGTTATTTTACTGGTATACCTTTTCTATTAACTAAATAATGTCTCAAGTATGAATTTATTCTGTATCCACCACTGCAGGTAGATTTCGAATAGAACTTCCATAGAAATTCTTACATTTCCAGTGACATTTTTTCCAACTGTTGAAAAATGAACCGAAAAAAATTCAAACGGAAATTCACACAATAAAAAATAATGATAATTGGATTAATTAAATCCACTAAAATTTCAATATAATGTAATTTGATCTCGAGATAGTCAATGAAATTTACAATGACAGCTATAAGAATAAAATATCATTTGGGATTTTCAGTGGATGTCTTACCGTTGGATTTTTCATTGCAATGTACCATTTTTTTATTCCTTTATAAATTATATTTATGTAGAAGTTTTTGTTATTAATTAGATGTATTTATAATTTTTTATTAAAAATATATTAAACACATGAACTTTTTAATCCATATATTTTTTAGAAATCGTTCATTATTTTATCGCAAGACTACCTATTAACTTATCAATTGAGTTACATTTCTTGCACATTAAATATCAAATAATAAAAAGTATTATTGTATATATATAATATGGTATTTATATATTATATTAAAAAACTAATAGCAACTAAAACGTTATTTAAAATCAAAATTATCAAAGCTTTATTTAAAAAAATAAAAATAAATTTCTAACCTACATGGATAAAAGTATAAATAACTATTGTCCCCGAAATACCTCGCTGCGAAAATTTCCCCCAATTTGAACAGTAAAACCTAGGTAGTCGTCGTTCGCCTCTTCCCGACGGGAAGCTTTGCACACCCGCGCGGCGGTCTCCGCTAGTCAGGGCCTCCGGCCCCTCGCTATGGTCTGGATTTCGCGATTGTTTGGAGCTACGCCGGTTGTGTTCTTCTGGCGGAACTTCGACTCCACGTCCCGATTCACGGTGGCGGGGCTGGATGGCGGTCTCTGTCTTCTGCCGGTCGGAAGCTGGAGTTGAGGTGAGTTCCCGCCTCCATCCCCCTTGTTTTGCTGTCCTGGGCTGGTCAGCGCGACCTTTTGGGCTGAGGTTTCTGTTGCCGGTGGCGGATCTTCCTGTTGCCGGCGGTGATGTTCGCGTTTTGGTCGTCTGGACTCCGGTCATTGCTGCACCTCCGGTGTCGTCCTCGGCTCTGTTTGTGGAGGATCCTTTGTGGGGTGTTTCAGTGGGCGGGGCATGGCTCAGTCGGCTTACTGCGATTTCGTGGTGGCGGCCGGAGTTGTGACTCGGTGCTGTCCCTTTTCTCCCTTGCACTCTGGTGTTGGGTCAGGGGAGGCCGGTGTTTTAGCCTTTCGGCTAGTGGTGTTAGCCGAGGCTGGGCAGTGGTGTTGTCGCGGGCATTCTGGGTGTTCTGGTGATTGGGAGGCGGACTGTGCTGATGGTGATGGTTGCCTTGTGCTGCGGGTCGGAGGGGTGATGTGGGTCAGGGGCTGACCTCCATTGACTGGTTCGTGAGTACCTACCTGGGAGAGTTTCGTGGCTGGAGGAGTACCGGATCTTGTTAGGCGTTTTCGGCAGTTTCAGGTCTCGGTGCTTGATTCGGTCTGCTCTTCTTTTGGGTGGGAGCTCTCGGTTTCGGTGGCGGGGTTGGTGTAGAGCTTTATCCTGTTGTGGAGGAGGGCTCTCTTTTTAGGTGTTAATATTTGTTGTTTTGTGTCTTAGTTGTCGATGTTTGTTCGTTTTTGTTTGGGAGATGAATGCAGGCTAGGCATTGTGCAGTGGCTCTGTTTTTCATTTTCCTTTTTTTTCGTTGTTGGAGTTCTCTAGGCCGCCATGTGCGTGTCCTCTCAGTTTTCTATTTCTGTTGTTTATTAGGAGTGTTTTTTGGTTTGGGCTGTTGGCCCCTGTCTAATTACCCTGTTGGGGCCTTAGATATTACCCCGTTGGGGTCTTGTAATTTGTTCCTTTTGTACTTTTGTGCTCTTTTATATTACCTCTATCGTTTCGGAAAAAAAAAAACAATTTGGCTCATTTACATCGATAAATACAAATATAAAAGTTCTACAAATACTTTTACTAATTATAATATTTTTATTTATTACCTTTTTTCATAGTTATTAGTAAGTATTACAACTTAGTTATAAATTTAATATTATTTATTAGATTTATTGATTTTTAACTTTAAACTGTTTTTTCATATGTATTTTAATATATATGTGTGTGTGTGTGTATAACTTTTAGGTTTGTTAAAAAATATATAAAATTAAAGTATAGCACTTTTTTGAATCATATGTCTCATTTATATCAATTAATTTTATATCTTTACATTATATTATATATAATTATAATCTTCTCATTTATACTCAAATATATAAATTTTTTATTTCGTACATTTTTTTTTTCTTAAAACCCATTTTATTATAATAACACATATTAATAGATAGATGAGTAATGATAATATATGAATATAATTATTTGATTAAAATAATTAATTTTCAACATGTAAATCATATATGATTCTCGAGATATTTTTAATTTATTTGTAGATAATTATATGGTTCAAATTAATCCATGTTGCTAAAGTGGTATCTCATTTAACGTGAAAACAAATAGATTAAGTTTTAGTATTATACAATTTCATAAAATTATTCTGGTCTTATGTATCGAAGAAATTGAATTGATTAGAAATTTAGGTTGTAGAACAATCATTCAACAATTATGCTCGCATACTATTACACATTTTGTATAGGTTATTTTGAAATTAATGTTTCTATACTTTGTGGTCGTTATGAGAAAAAAACAATATCGATTTCTAGTTTTATAAGTGTTTATTATGCTTTTTTTGTTGGATCAATTTTAGTTTCTTTAAGGAACTTTTATATATTAGAGTTATGAAATGTGATTACAATATTACCATTAGAATTATATTACAAATAATGACGTTTTCCAAAACAATAATTCTATATCCTATCAAACAGTTTTAGAGATATGTGGAAGAAAACAAATTTGTGAGAAATAATGGTGCCAAACCAACATACTGTAATTGATTTTAGGAGTGTGGAATGATTTGTTCATGTATTTGTATTTAATTAATTAAATATTAGTTATAATTAAAAATATAAGATATGATGGACATTAATATATTACTAATTTTCCATTAAAAACATGTCAAAGTAAGGGTTTATTAGGTAATTCATTTTAATATTTAAAAATATAAAATATGATGTGCATTAGTGTATTACTAATTTTCCATTAAAAATATGGCAAAGTAAGAGTTTTTTAGGTAGTTCATATTTTTACAAAAACACTCGTCCTTTTAGAGTAGTATAGATTAATCTTGTATTTGAATGCATGTGGAAAATTTTCTTCCGCTTAATTTACGAGAAAAATCTGGAAAAAAAACGTAGCATCCATAGTTTTTAAACTCGGCCCACGAATCGAACCAGGCAGGTCTCTGAGACCAGGTTATCGATTCAATCAGCGGGTCACCGGGTCAATTACTGAATCGAATAATTATTTTTAAAATTTTTAGAATTATATATAAAGTATTTTTGCCATATAAATATACATAAAAGTAAGAAAATTAAATGATTTATATATAAAGTTTGTACATTAAAGTGTTAATAATATGTAGCTGATGATAAATATTTACCATATAAATATATATACATAGATTTATTTTTTTAAAACAAATAATATTTTTTAAAAAAATATATCTATATATATATATATAGGGGTCGGGTTAACCCGGGTCAATGTCTCGGATCGACCGGGCTTGACCAGGTCCTTTGTTGATCCGCCGGGTCTCAGGTTGACCCGCCTGGCCGCTCCGGGTTGAAAAACTATGGTAGCATCACTTTCTTGCCCATTCATTATATAATTACATAGTGTAATTTATTATTCCAATCAACCTTTGTACAGTATTTCTAAAAAATAATTTTGTATTTGTACGTACGTGGAAATTTTCTTGCCCTTAATTTCAGAGAAAAATCTAGAGAAATAGGGTAGCATCACTTTCTTGCCCATTCATTATGTTATTACATAGTGGGCTTACATTGATCTAGTCTGAATTAAGACGAGGTGAAAGGAAAAAGCTAAAAGTCGGATGAACAGCCATAAGGTCTGGGCCTTCTTATCTAAATTGTTAACAGGCTTAATACCTTGAACTAAAATAAAAAGGGTAATTTAAAAAAGAAAAAAGAAAAAGCATTGGACCATTGGTCAGTGGTCACCAATAGAAAGAAAAGACTTATTACAGAAAGCCGTGCACACCACGCGCCCTAAATTCCCGACTCATTTCAACTTTCCCAACAGCTGTTTGACTTCCACTCCACTCCACCCTAATCAAATCCAGTCCATTATCACACACCATCGCTAGCTCTCATCTGTTACAAGCTTCTTACAACCTTTTCTTTTTCCTTGTCGTTCTCAGGTTAACAAGTCTGTTTCTGACATTTTTTTTTTCGAATATAGCTCATCTGATATAACAACGTATGGCTGATTGCCAAAACGCGGATAGCTTACTGAATCTGGAGTCGTTGAGAAAGAGTTTGGTCCGACAGGAGGATTCTATCATCTTCTGTCTGATTGAGAGGTCAAAATATCCCATCAATTCAGGGCTTTACGATGATAAGTATTCAGACAAATTTTCGTCTTCTTTGTTAGAATTCTTTATTAAGGAATCCGAAGCTCTTCAGGCAAAGGTATATTGTTTTAGGGAGATGCTAAAGAATTGGACTGTATTTGCTAATTTTATGAATACCTCATACAATTTTCCTTTTTTCCTTTTCTTTTTGGTGTAACTTTATGTGAGCATATCCATATAGATAGATGCTAGACAAATCTTGATATGTTTTCTGGGAATGATGAGCATGTTGTATGGAAAACTCTCTGATCTTTGATTTCTGTCAAGTTTTCACTTTGTTTGCATTTCACTAGTCTGTTTGACAAAAGGGAAAGAGCAGAAAAAAGGCCTTTGTCATATCTTTTTTTTCTTAATGTTTTTTCCTGACATATATCCCGATTTTAATCACTATAACATTTGGTCTTAAGTAGTAATAGATTATTGGGAGTGGCATACTTTTATAGTTTACAAGTGTTCTTAGAGTGGTACAAGAACTGGTGAGCCTGATCATTTGATGCTTGGTTGAGACTTGAGAGTAGATAATATTACCAACTAAACCATGAATATAACATTCTGGTGATCTGGTCCTTATCCCTCTTATATATTAATTCAGAACGCGCTGAGCCTATGTGGCAGGCTCGCATGCTTCGGGATCCTATGTGGCAAAATTACATGCTTCGTTATTAGGTTTGGATTATCTATAAATATGATTATTTATTATAGGGGCGCAGTCCGGGACGGTCCTGGATTTGACTTGTCCGGATACTGATTCCACTTTTATGAATCAATTATGAACGGTTCGGAATGAGGCACTGTCCCCACCCATGTAATACATGGGTGTTGTACTAGTTTTATTTAAAATTTAAAAATTTTGCACCATTTTCGGTGTAGGCTGGCCGTTATACTTCTGAGGAAGAGAATGCGTTTTTCCCCGACAATTTACCATCTCCAATACTTCCATCACATGATCATACACCAGTAAGAGTTCAATCGGAAATAAATTAAGTTATTGCATATGAATAAACTTGGAGTGGGCTTTGAGACACGAAATTTAGGCTTTTTATGTAAGATGATTTTGATTTCAGGTTCTGCACCCTCAAGGAGCTTCCATTAACATAAATGAAAAGATACTGAATGAGTTGTACCTCAAGAATTTACTTCCTCTAATTGCCGGCGAGGGTAGTGATGGTAATTACGCACCCACTGCCACCAGTGATCTCAATTGTTTGCAGGTAAAATAATTGGGAGAAAATATTAAAAAGGAATAAGAAAAGTTAATGTTTCATTAATGCTTTTCTTTGCTGTCAAGCTTTTCAACGAATCCTTTTGAAATATTGAATAATCTACTTTCAGGCTCTCTCGAAAAGGATTCATTTGGGAAAATTCGTGGCCGAGGTTAAATTCAGAGATGCGCCTGACGATTATATCCCTGCAATACGTGCTAAGGTATAATCATTCTTACTAACAAATTATTTGCATGTGAAATCATTTTCTAACATTGATGATAACTTGCAGGATAGGGAAGCTTTGATGAAGTTATTGACTTTCGAAAGTGTTGAAGACATGATCAAGAAAAGAGTGGAAAAGAAGGCCAAGATATTCGGACAGGAAGTGGAACTCAAAGAAAACGAAACCAACATGAATTACAAGGTTAATCCATCAGTAGTTTCTTGCTTGTATGGCAATTGGGTCATCCCTTTGACCAAATTCGTCGAGGTCGAGTACCTTCTTCGCCGTCTGGATTGAAACCTGTTTAACCATTTCAAATTTTCAAAGTTTGTTTGGAAAGATGGACCGAGATTTGCTGTGGAAACTTGAAAATTGGCTCTATAGTTCAAGATTTGTCTGAATAAGATGTATTTGCTTATCTGTTTTGTATTGACTAGTAAAGTGCACGTGCGATGCACGTGGTGGCGAATGTTTTTTCCCAATTACGTCTAGTAAAATAAATTAATTAATTTATTAAAAATATCATTACAAGAATGAAATAAAACGTAGAACAAATGAGCTCATAATGTAATCGTTTTTTGCCGATTAAGTTTTGTAAAATAAATAAATTAATTTATTAAATATATCCTTGTAAGAACGAAACAAAATGTAGAACAAATTAATGAACCAAAATATAGAAACAAATTATTTTTTCTAAAATAACTTAACGATGTCCTAATATAAAAATGATTAAATAACATATTACAACCCCAACAAAAACACTAAATAACTAAATAATAACTAATATATATTATACATGCATTAGTTCTTTTATTTGTTTATGTTAGATGATTCGATAGCGTTCTCTTTCATTTTGGGTTTGACGTCCTCATAAGAAGCATTATTGATTCAATAGTATTACAAAATTCATCTTAGTTCATTTGGCAAAACGTCTACTTTATTCAAACACTTAAGAAATATTCTAACCAAACATATAGTGAAACTTCATGGTTGTATTATCTTTATATTTCTACTAACCATGCATGAATTTAAAATTGTTGATTATTTTTATCATTGTATAAACTATTAAATTACTCTCTCTATATATATCGACAAATTATTGATACCTACCCCATGGATGTATCTCCCTACGGAAGGGAATGAATTTCATCTCTAAATAAAAGTTGACTATTCAAAATATCTATTACATGTACTTTTCCCGAGTTTTTTTTTTAAATCATCACACATTAACTAAAAGTTCATACTATAAAATAATTGCACATATGTTCAAGCACAATACACCAATGAAATTATAAATATTCCTATAAGAAGTGTCAACTTCATTCAAACATTCAAAAATGTTTTGATCAGACTCCAACGTTTCATTTTCAGTGTCATTTATTTGGAAGATAGACGAACTATATAATCTATTGTTTGCAAATCATTGACCATCTAGTTCTTGCAATGATTTTAGAATTATTTATCTTCATATCTTTCACATTCGTTTGGATTTGTAATATTTATGTGTCCAATAACTTTTTAATGCTTTTATCGTCCAACTTTATGCATCATACATAATACTAAAAAAAAACACGAGATAAAGTTCCTTTCTTGATTCTTCACCAATGACAAAATCAAACAAAACAAAACAATGAGACAACATTGAGAAGCATATCATTTGTTAAATTATTTGAGATGAGAAGAATTAAAATTCTATTATGACTCTTAGTCATCTTTGAATGTTATTATTACGAAATCATTATTAAAATCTACATTATGTATTATAAAATTTTTAATTATTTAAAATTAAAAATTGATATAATAGGATCATTATTTATGAGATCCAATTTCTTACAGAGTCCATATATTTAAACGCTAGCAACAAACAAAGTATTATTTTTAAAAGATTTTTTGTTTCTAAATATTGGTATTCATACTTGTCTAAGAAAATTCAGACGTTTTCTTTTTTCAAATCCATTACTATTATTTTATTAGTTTTTATTTCTATTGATAAATAATACTTTATTTATTAAACGAATTATAGCACATTTATATGTATTGCATCATTTTTTGTACGTGTTTCATATAATGACGTTGTTATCAAAATATCTTATTTATTAGACAACAACTAATATAATCACATAAGATAAAATAAAATTTAATATTACTTATTTATATATTTATAATAATCATATATTTAATAAAAAATGTACTTTTATACTGATTATTAGATTAAAAGGTTTAGAATTTTTTTCCCAATGTTTGAGAAAAATATTAAGCAACTAACTCATTTTCATACTCATTGAATTTATGTGTTAGTTGAATAATATTTCACATACAACTCGTTTATTTCTCCTTTTAATTCACATAGTTAATATTGGTGATAGTTGTATATTTACATCTAGTTTTTGTTTTTCTTAGTATGAATTTTCGGATCTATGTAAGAAAAATATGCCACAAGGAATCTAATTCTAGCACAAATATTTTATTGGAATCATGAGCAGATCTATGTTTATTTTATAGATCCGACACAACCCTCCATCCTAAAGCATATAGCGTAAGGAATCTAATAAAAATTTGTGGGAACATTTTTTCATAATTTTTATCATGTCCCCTATTTTAAAAATGAAATTGAAAGAAAGAAAGATACATAATGAATTAATTCATAACTCAACCAATTATAATTTAATTCAACTCATAACTTTATTAATCTTATAACATAAACGCGGCATCACAACTAAAGAAAATATAATATATCTCAAAATTATAATTTTATCCTCTAATTATATTATTTCAATCTTGATGACAGTTTCAAATCTCTCTTTTGCAACATTTTTTTCTATATCTTCAAAATATATTTTTTTTATGTCTTTTATAACTAATGCAAGGGGAATTCTAGTTATATATTCGTAATTTATAAATTAATCAATTATATTGCCGAGTCAGCTATACTACAACATAGATTTTTTGTTTATATTTTTTTTTTAAAAAAGATATTATATTCAATGATTTTCTTATGTTGAATTGAGAAAAATCGTCATTTTTTTTATTAAATACTTTTTAACTTATTGTGATTGTACTGATGTGTTAGAATGTATTACAAGTTAGAAACATGATAAATTATGTAAAGTATAATTTATAAATTGTAATGGCATTATGTTATTTTGATGGTATACTTTTTCTATTAACTATATAGTGCCCAATATAAAATTATTTTGGATCCGCCACTGCAGTTAGTTATCCAATGGAACTTCTATTAATTTTTTTACAATTTCAATGATAGTTTTTTCAACGGTTGAAATACGATCCGTAAAAAAATTCAACAGAGATTCAAACAATAATAAATTATAGTAGTTGGAATGATTTAATTCACAAAATTTTCAATGTAATTTAATTTGTTCTCTGTTGGAATAGTTAATGAAATTTTCCAATAAAAGCTTTACCAATGAAATATCCGTTGGAATTTTCTTTGGAATATCTTACAGATGCATTTTCCATTGCAATATACCAATTTTTTTTTGTATTCCTTCTTAAACATTATATTTTAGGTAGTAGTTATTGAGTAACTGTGTTTACAAGTTTTCTAATAAAATACATTAAACACATGAACTTTTTAATCCATATAATTTTTTTAAAGCAACTCATTATTTTATCTCAAGATTACCTAATAAATTCTCAATTGAGTTACATTTATTACATATTAAATGTTAAATAATTAAAATAATTATTATTTATATATTTAATATGATATATATATATATTATGTAAAAAGCTAATAGCAAATAAATAGTAATTTAAAATTAGAATAATCAAGTATTTTTTTTTCCTAACCTACATGGATACAGGTAAAATAACTATTGTATATCACCTAAAAGTTACATATAGAATTAATAAGTACAAAAATTAACAAGCATTTAACAACCTTGCTCGTTTACATTGATAAATATAAGTTTTAAAAGGTTTATGTTTACTTTTATTAATTATAACATATTTATTTATTATTTTTTAATATTTATTAGTACGTATTACAACTTAGTAATTTTTAATATCATTTGTCAGATTTAATATTTTTTTTATTTTATATTGTTCTTTCATATGTTTTTAAATTTTGTATTTGCTTAAAAATTCATAATATTATGTATAGAACTTTTTCGGTCATATGTGTTAATATATCAATTATTTGTATATCTTAATATTATATCATATACAATTACAGTTTTCTCTTTAATATTATAATCAATTATTCATAATTTATAAATTAATTAACAATATTGTCGAGTCAACTATACTACCACATAGATTTTTTGTTCATAAGATTTTTAAAGAATATATTATTTTGGTCATATGTGTTAATATATAATCTATTTATATATCTTAATATTATATTATGTGCAATCACAATTTTTTCATTAATACTATAATCAATTAGTCATAATTTATAAATTCATCAACAAAATTGTCGAGTCATCTATACTACAACATAAATTTTTTGTTCATCATATTTTAAAAGATATATTTTTTTCAATGATTTGCTTACTTTTAGTTGAGAAAAATTATATTTTTTTTGAATACTTTTAACTTATTGTAACTGTAAAGATTTGTAAACATGTATTACAGATGAGAAAGATGACAAATTTTGAAAAGTAAAATTTAAATATTGTAATGACATTATGTTATTTTGATGGTATATTTTTTCTATTAGCTAAATAGTGCCTCCAATATGAAATTGTCTGTATCTATCACTGCAATTAGCTTTCCAATGCAACTTTCATTGATATGTTCCCAAAAAGAAAATTCACACAAGAAATAAATAATGGTAACTCGAATCATTAAATCCATTAAAATTCCATTATAATATAATTTGATCTATGTTGGAATAGCCAATGATATTTTCAAATGAAAGCTATGCAAATGAAAAATCTTTTAGAATTTTTATCGTTGGATTTTTCATATTGCAACATAACATTTTATTTTTTGCATTCCTTTTTAAATATTAAAATTTTTATGTTGTAGTTTTTCCATTAATTTATTGCGTTTACAATTTTTTTTATTAAAAATATATTAAACACATGAACTATTTAGTCTATATAACTTTTTAGAAATCACTCGTTATTTTAACTCAAGATTACCTATTAATTTCTCAATTGAATTACAACCTTTTTACGTATTAATATTAAATAACGAAAATAATTATTATTTTATATTGTAAAATGATATTTATATATTTATATTAAAAAAACTAATAGCAAATAAAAATTTATTTAAAATTAAAATAATCATTTTTTTAAATATTAAAATTTTCAACCGCTATATGGATAAAATTACAAATAACTATTATCTATCACCTAAAAGTTACACATAGAACAAATAAGCACAAAAAAATAAAAATAAATAAACAATTCGATTCATTTACATCGATAAATATAAATTTTAAAAGTTTTATGTTTAATTTTATTAATTATAAAGTTTTTATTTATTATTTGTTTTCATATTTATTAGCAAGCCTTACACCTTAATTATATTTTTAATGTTATTCATCAGATTTATTATTTTTTTTACTTTCAA